TACAATTTCTATCCCTTTACTCTCTTCCCATTTGAACTGTATAGAATACCTGTCGAGGTTGCGAGATACTTCGCTGGGCTGGTAAGCAAGGAATCAGCTTTCGCAAGCATTGATCTCGATGGTAATGGTCTGGTTTGCATACAAGAGTGGAAATTGGGAGGCGGCGCCGTGACAGAATTCAGCAATTTGCTCATTCGCCTTGACGCTAATGGTAAGACGTGATCATGGTGATGGTGGTAATGGTGTTGATGGTCGATGATCATGAGGATCTTAATGATGATGAAGCAGATGTGCAGATAATTATAATATTATTGCTATTGTTAATGTAGAATGATTATGATAATGATGATGATGACAATGCAAATGACGTATTCGATGATGATGAATTATTACGATGATGACAATATACAGATGCCCTTGATCCTGTTAAAATGGTTATAGTTATCATTATCATTGTTGTTTTTGTTGTCTATGATGATGATGAAGATGATGATGATGATGATGATAAAGACAATATTAAATACGATGATGTTGATTATGAGGATGAATCTGGTGGTGGTGATGATATGTAGTGATGATGATGATGGTAAAGATGACGACAATATCAGCCAGGTGAAGAAATTGTTAACATCTATTGTGATTGTAATATAATGATTGATTTAACATGATGAGTTAAGGATTTGCTAAAAAATTATACAAAGGATCAAAGAGGTATTAAAGCAATTTTAAACGTAATGGATACTATAATAGTTGTTATCACCATCGCATCATTTATGGAAGGATAGCGTAAGTTTCTAATCATGGTTATGATGCAATAACAATGACAACTTCATTTCGAGAGAGAGAGAGATTGCCTGAAAGAAAGAAAATGTGTGCATTTTCTATAACTGCCTGTCACTTCTTTCTCTTTTTGTTCAAATCATACAGGCGATGCCCTGATCTCTCTTGTTGAGCTACAATCGTTTAGTCTACCGAGTACGACCGCACCAACGAAAAGAACCATCAGGAAGTTTGACCTACTACATTAGTACTAGCCTCGCCTGCTCGATCCACGAATCAACAGACAGCATTGTAAGATTCCATGAACAACACCATCGGCATTATAACCTTCATTATAGACTTCATGAGCGCCGATGTTTCAAACCGAAACGCTACTCAAATGTAAGAAATCGAAGAGGATAAACCCACACTTTCATGCAGATTGTGCAGATACGTTTTCAACTGTTTTCAAATGCAGCACGTACACAAATACAAGCTGAACGCGGTCGATCAAAAAGTATAATATCATCTTAATATATTCTAATAATGGCGGTAGAATAAATAGACTTATTATTCCATCTAAATTATTTGAATTAGACGACGTTTTTAAGGATGGTATTAAAGGTTACGCTCCAAATTAATAGATTCTTTTGTTAATGCTAATATGTATTTCGGATTGTAATGCTGGTTGGACGCAACTAGCGTACCGGCGGTTTGGCCTATTTATCCCACGTATTTTGTAATTATTATTGATCAATGCCATACCTAAATGCACTAAAGCATCGACTTGGTATTGAACCGGGAACCTATCTACGACGAGACCACTGCTCGACCATTGAGTTTTTGTTATTCGTTAGAACGCACGGCTGATGAATCGCACATGATTATGTACTGTGTGTCAGAATAACAGACAAAACTAAGGCAATGTATCGGACCTCAAAATTGAAAATATTCGCAGCTATTGATACAAATTTGAACTGCATGGAATCGAACACTTTTGAGTTAGTAAATTTTGAAGACAACAAAATGACTTTCTTTTTCTTTACTTCATGTTTTATCTTCAAAAACCAATTAATCCGCCATGTTTGAAATGTGAGAATAATACTTTATCGTCGTTCAGTATGAGAAACTAACTTTCTATTACCTTCGAAAGGAAACACAACAGATATGTATTACCTGTTTATTAGTATTTTTAGAGATTGAGTTGCCTTCCCCAAAAGCAATACATTTTGTGATATCTCTAACCCTTGAAATAGATAGTATTTGTGTTGTTTACGCCATGTTATGCTATGAGTACCGATTTTATAAATGCATCAACTTGCCAAGCCTAAATAGGTTTTTCATGATACATTCATTGTCTCTGTATTATTCCTTTTTTTTCTTCATTTTTATCTTTGCATTGAATAATTTTGAAATATTTTGTACAAAGTAATAAACTGGAGAATCAAGTAATGATTAAATTGAAATCACCTTGTTACCGATTTATTTTTAGTAGTTTTACTTTTTTTCCTTCATTTTTATCTTTGCATTGAATAATTTTGAAATATTTTGTACAAAGTAATAAACTGGAGAATCAAGTAATGATTAAATTGAAATCACCTCGTTACCGATTTATTTTTTAGTAGTTTTACTTAATATATAATGGTTAGTTATTATCTTAATAATCTATACAGAGCTAAAAAAAAAAATGCAAAGGCAAGACAAGCAAACCAATAACTAAATATCTGTAACAATACATAACGGAGAAAACTCACTCTTTTCCCCTAAAAAACTGTGTATGTGTGTGTGCGTGTTTATGTGTGTGTGCGTGTATGTGTGTTCGTGTGTGTGTGTGTGTGTGTGTGCGTGTATTTTTAATTCACTTACATGCAGTTTAAAAAAGCTCGTGACTTTGTGCATGTTATTTAATCATTTTCAAATACATCAACCATTGTCATGCAGCATTTAGAAATAACTGTCAGCCTTTATAGTGGTTTGTTAATGTAAATAGTAATGGAATGTGCTCTTTATTTACAATAAATCAGTCAGTCGTGTGAATTTGCTACACAAACCTACACCCTTTAAAAAGATATTTCATTAATAAGTGCAATTCAAAATAAGAACAGGTTTTCGTCAAAAATAGTGGGTTTGTTTAGATGATTTCATGGTTAGTATTTTACTAAATGTATGAGGAGGGTCCAGACTTGAAAAAGCTCCACATATATTTGCTTGTGGTTCAGGAGTTTATTCTTGCAGCTAAAACATCATGCTAGTGGTTAAGTGCAACATACCACTATCACATGTACATCACATACAGCAGTGGATGGGGTTTGAATGTGTGCATAGTTAACTAACTCATTGAATACATCACACTCTCTGTGTGCCAAGAGTATTAAAGTGACTCGGTAACATTGTTGAAAGTTGTTGAAAAATTGCGTATTGTTTGTGTGAAATGTTAACTATTATATTCCATCTAATGTACTAACCCACTAAAATGCAAAAAAATCCTGAAAAAAGTCGCAAACCACAACAATATTAATGGTTTTCTATGAAGGTGTCACTGTGCGACACTCGTTTTTCCATGAAAATGAGACATAGGACACGCTTTTAAAAATCTGTCAAAACTTAAATGTCTGGAATGGTATATAGTCTAAGAGCCAATTCATTGCTTTGTGACGATTTAAATTCACATAAAATGTCATTAAATTGTAATAATATAGTTGGCAGAATTAAGGAATCGATCATATCAGTTTTCTCCAATTTGTATCATTAATAATGGTCTGTTTCACTCGAACTTTCAGATTATCTTTAATTGTACATCTGGCATTGAAGCCACAACCTAAGCACCATTTTATCTCATCTGAACAATGTTACCGAGTCCCTTTAAAAAGTGCTTTCTGCATGGTTGCTTCATAATGAATATGCACGACTGTTTCATAATGAGCACATAAATTATGTTCAAGTTAGGAGTGCTGCGTCACCCGATGTCAAAACATTACATCTCACTTTCTTCAAAAGGAAAGAATGAAAGTTTGTACTCTAAACTGTTAAATGACTTTCTAACTAAAAGTTTTAGTTTGATTTTCGACTAAAAATTTTGAAACTCGCACAATGTCAATTACCCTAACATGCATGTAATTTTTTCTAAAGTTTTGTTCTTCCTACATTAAAAAAAAAAACATTTTAAACACAATATTTCAACTTCCTCTTCTTAGTCTATTTATATCTCATATCCTTTCGATCTTTGCTTCTTGTTTTACTTGTACCTATTAACGCTTGACAAATATCTTGAAAATATAATATCTTCTCAATCTTTCCCCTACTCTCTTTTGTGCTTAACCCTTACTGTACTGGGCTATTTCGAGGACTCTCTGACTGGGGGTGGGGGGGGGGGGGGCCTGGGAGGCCCCCCCCCCCTATGATCTCGGCCGTCGAATGTCCGATGAACGCGAAAATTTGCGTGTTTGTAGATATTTACGTAAGGAACAAGATGGTATAATTAGTTTTTTTCCTAATATGCAAATTTTTGTCGTTATAGCCCAATTAATTATGCAAAATGCTAATTTTATGCATTTTACAGAAAACTCTACATATTTGTCTGTAGACTTGTGAAGAATCTTGAAAATGTATTGAATAAATGTTTCCTTCATCTCAAATTCATGAGGTTTCATTATTTTTATAATATTTGAAAATGCATAGGTTAATTTGCATAAATTATGAATACGCATTCATGAATATCAAATCTGGAAATATATGAAGGGAACTAGAATCATTACAAAAATTGTCAGACTTCACTTTTGGAATGTTGAAACCCATTATTCATATGAAACTTCTTTTCTAACACAAAATAGTTATTTGATGTAATTAATAATGATAATTTATGCAAATTTGATGCGATTTTCGAATATTTAATTTCTTATGTATTTTATTGTTTTTATTTCTTATTATATCTATTGTTTTATTTCTAATGTATTCTTTTGTTCTGAAATACATCAAGTTACTTTGAGAAACATATAAAAACAATTTGATATCAATTCATGTCTTCACATTTCTGCTTGTACATGAATATATGCAATTATAGCACTTTTTTGATGACATGCGCATACTAGTTGTTATGTAACACCTTACAGGTATATCCGATTTCGACGAAAATGGTATCAAAATGTGCGTAAGACTTGAGGGAAAAAAGTCATGAAACGACAATTCGAAATTCCGAGCGGTTGCGGCGCAATCTCCGAAAATGTCGAGGGGGGGGGGGGCCTCCCAGGCCCCCCCCCCCCCCAGTACAGGGTTAAATACAAAGAACGTTTTTAAATCCTCGAAAATTTGCATCGTGATAAAATTTAAATGATAATAATCGACTGCTTTTACACATCTAGTATACAAGTTGTAAATCAATAATGGGCTTTTCACTTCGAGTCGAAGGAGTTACGTTAGTCATAACCATAAATACAGTTATCAATACTAACTGACTTTTCTCCTTGTTTGTTAAAGCAAACTAATTTTTTATCGAATGGTTTGCCACATTGTTTACAAAACTGTATAAACCAATGAAATAAAATTCACTTTGCTTTACATAAAACATAGTTTGCTTATGCATACATGAATATTACAACAAATAAAGTTACTTCTGTTTAGTATACAGTTCACAATTAAATCATGTGAACTTCGGTATTATATTTTGTACGTTTGCCGTTTACCACTTTCAAAATCATGTCGATTTGAACACATTTGCACAATTACGATTTACTTGATTTTTGATGCATTTCTCTCTTTTCCTGTGTGAGCGCGCATATTAATAGACAATAGTTTGCAATATATATATATATACATATAGTTGTATCAAAACAATTTCTTCGTAGATAATGTGTACTGAAATACATAGATTTTAAATTAAAATTTGTATTAATCATCATTTTCTACAACAAACATAATTATTCACTTCAAATTCACATTCATTAAGTCATTAAAAAAAACTAGCTAATATTACATATTTACACGAGTCTTAAACATCAACACAATGTTGGTAATCAAACCTTTTTTGTGTGGAAAGTACTGATATTCAATATTTTTCGTAAATGAATCTAAATATTTCAACAATAGACAGAAAAGTACAAAAACAACCTCTATAAATACCAGTCAAACAGGATAAACAAAGACAAACAATGATCTAAGGAAAGCAATTGATCTTGAAAATTGCATACAAAATATTAGATACTATTCACTTTCCACCAACGATTAGTTGGCATAGAGCAATCATTGAACCAAAATTAAACCAAAATTGTACATATTACAGACATGAATTACAGACAGTCCTTAAGACATATTTCGAAACAAAATTTACATGTACTTTATAAGTTCGGAACATTCACTCGACCATGCACCCCAAACAATGCACCTGTACAGATGAGTATTAGTTGTCTTGCTATAGGCCGTAAGTCCCAGGCTGGGATTCGAACCATCTACCCTTGGATTGATAATCAAGTGAATGAACCACCTATACCACGACACCTCCATAATAAGTTTTTTCCGTAATTTCCCTATATTTTCTTAGGCTAAAAGAAACTACTCCACAAACAAAATATATACAAATTCAGTGTCATCTAGAGATTTTAGAACCATAATTCAAACAACACAGCTATATGAATTTAAGAATCAAATGCAAAGTTCTCGTACACAGAGCACCATTCAAACAACGCAAAGCTATATGAATTTAAGAATCAAATGTAACGTTCTCGTATACAGAGTAGGGTTGTTGAGGCTTTGACTTCGGTCTTTCCTGGCTCCTCTCAGTCTCTACGTTGCCATACATGAGCGCGGCGGCGCCTGCATCCTGCGGATCTGTGATCTCATACGGGTTCTCTTCCGGGTCAAGTGTATAGTCGATCTCTACATTGCCATACGTGTGGTCATCTATCGGGTACGGAAGCTGCTCATAGTTCTCAGTGTGCAGGTATTCACGGATGGCATCGTAGATGAAAGCATATTCCTCCTATATAAGATTGTATGGGAAGGTCCTATTTGTTAACTACTTGATATTCATTGGCATATAGAGATGGAGATATAAAGATTTATTTAGGATTAAAACAAAAATGAATAGAATAAAGAGGGTACTTTAAAAGGGGGACAATATACAAATACATTTTCGCACTAAATTAAGATTTTAGTATTCAGAGGCTGTATTCCTTTCATGTAAACCCCAAAATACGAAACAATCTTTGATTTGACTCTGATTAAATTATTTCAAATATCTATTTCGACTTATTATTCTACCACTGCATACCATAGCACAATAAAAAAAAAATATTGACATGTCGCAATTACAGATTATATTTCATCATAACTCATGTTATTTACTTATTGTATGGGGTGGTATTTGACCTGTGTGATAAAGATACCAATAATTGTCATACCTCAGTTTGGACGAACTGCATCCTGTCAGCTCGCAGTGTCTTGACTGTCTGGAAAATATCGACGGAATCTCCCTCCGCTATCTGAGCGATGCACTCCATAGCAGTGCAAAGCACACCTGTTCGCCCAGCACCACTCCTTAAAATCCAAACAAAAAAGAAAATAAGTTTAAAGTACAATAATCCAGGTTCACTATAAACATGTGACTATTGGGTGAAATTATTGCATTTTTAGTATTAGTTCTCGTTACCGAATAGACCTATTTTCTAAAGCATTTCATTTTCTGCATGTTTCTCTTTAGAACCCCTTGTTTCTTACTATTTAATTAACCTGCTTTACGAAATCGCATCTCTATGATGGAACCCATTTTGCATACATCAACTGCTGCTATGTCTAACAAGGCCTGACAAGCTTTTGTGTTGCCAATGGAAATATTTCTTCAAGAGGTAATTCATCAAATTTTTAAACAGGCTATTTGCTTAAAGTAGCCACACGAAGAAATCAAAAGTATTTTGAATTGATGCAAAACTCATATCATTGCGAAGGGGAAGCCTTGCCGATCAAATACAACAACTCTTCTCTGAAAAATATGTTTGGGGCCCGCAGTAATCAACTCTCAAAAATTTTAGTTTTGAGATCCAGATTTTCTGCCTTCAGCGGTCCTTTGTAGAGCGTCAATATTTGTGACGTCACATATAGGACACGGCTAGCTAGCTGCATACTGCTACACGGCACTGAGCTGTTCGTCCAGTGTGTGACGTCACAATTCAGAGCTCGCTACGCTTGTGTGTTTGACTTACGTTCAGGGGCGTTCGGGGGTCTAAGGAGGGTCTTGACAAATTGCATTTTACGCTTTTCCATGATATCTATATGATTTCTCTGCAAATTGTTCGTGTTTTCAAGAGAAAATCTTTCCATCCATATGTAATTTGTTCTAATTATGAGTTGTTAGTGAATTTTCTTTGTGTAGCTCTTTAAACGTTGTAGAAGAGTTTTAAGATTTTAAAATCATTGCCTTGGTTGCACAAAATTTACCTCAATTTGTTTAATTCATGGGCCGATCCTATTTCTATCGACTTTAAAAAGCATTAAAAAGATTCTAGACTTACAAACAATGGACAAGAATGGAGAATTCATTCATTTTGTTAGTGGAACCTTTGACAGCACGGATGAGCTTGATCAAAGACCTAGCACCTGATTGTTGATCTGATCCATGTTTAGGCCATCCATGGAACTGGTACTGAGTGACGGTGTGACTGGTCTAAAAGAAAACGAAACAAAACAATCCGTGAAAATGGATGTATAAGGCGTATTAGAATTAGTCACAACATTGCATCTTAATATCTTTGTATTCTACCAGATATGGATAATGATGTTACACTGGCTTTGTGCTCACAAATTTTATTTGTCTATGTTTCAAAAACAAAATAGCAGTTTAAAGAGAAAATCGAGTTCTGGTAAAGATAAAAAATAACAATTGTGATGATTTCCATTTTGTCAATTTAATTTTAGAATATTAAAGATAACAGAAATGACCCCTGAAAAAACTGAAAAGTTTGAACCAAACGCTCACGTCACATGTGTAGTCCCTTTACCAAGTCCTGTATGCAGCGCATATGATTTTCAGCAGCCCTGAGTTAAATTTGATATTGATCATTCCAAGACCTCACCGTAGTATGTACTACATATTCAACTTCTTTTCACAGTTGCTCAATTACAGACAGTTTCTTTCACAATATTAAATGCTCTTGCATGACTAACTCAGCTTTATATTTTTAACATAAGTGCGATATTAACAACGATCAGATCTCCGGGTCATTTATATTCATCAAGTCGCAATTCGTCCGGTAGGTTAAACTGTTCTTGTTGAAATTCATAATGCGGTTTGCTAATTACAATATTAGATTTCTTGATCCGTTAAAAAAAATTCATTTCAAATAAGGGTATCACATTAAAATTCCCCGCCCTTCTTTAACAATTACTATAATCGTAAAGAAATTATATGAAATAAGACATACTTTGGAGTTTCTGGTAACTTTGAGTTTACGAATGGTCATGTCCCCATCAGATGATCTTGATAAGGTTGCAACTGAATAGGATCCAAACTGAGCCGAGTCAGCATCAGGCCAGTACTGTGCACAGCTCTAGAAGAAACAGAAGTTAGGCTATCGTTAAAATATCAATATATGTTTGTCCTTCTTGTACACCATTCTCTGTCATCCTTCCTTCCTCTCGCTCTTCTCCTGACGTATTATATTTATATTTCTCGCTCTTGCCGTTTTCCTTTCCCTTAATAATGCACCAGGTTCCTTGAATCACCATTACTAGTCACTTTAGCCGTGTTAGTTTTTTAAATGAGCCTTATGGACCCTGTGCAGATTAGCCTTGTGCTAACCAGGTTATCCAATAAAGTCTACTCCTATACAACTTTTATTACTATTTCTACTATTACTACTGCTACTGCTACTACTACTACTACTACTACTACTTCTACTACTACTACTACTGCTACTATTAATCCGGGGAGGAGTTCGAACTTGGTTGTTCAAACAAAATCTCTAACAGGTACCCCTACCTTCTGCGCCACCGTTGGGAATCTAATATTTAATATGTTAAGTGTGGTTATTATTTACCAAAAAATAGAATCAATACAAAATAGCAAGGTCTTTAAAATCTCCGAAACTCAAACTGTGAAAAATGTTAACAAACCTAATTTTAAAATGTACATGTTATCACATTTATTTACTACCTTGTCGTTTTGGCTCTTGTCATTAAGCATGACGATAGTGGATGGTTTATAGTCGAGGACCATAGACCAGAAATCAGACACAGTGGTTGGCAGCGGCATCTGGGTTGTCATGAATGTACAGTGGACTCCCTGAAAGATGAAGAAATAATAATTACAATATCCGATGTGAAAACGTAGCCACCTACTTCCGTTGTTATAACATGTATAATAGCTGTCAGTATCTTCGAACCGCAATCACCCTAGGCGGAGGGGCTCATTAAATACACTGCAGCCCCACCCTACACCCCCTTCAACAATCCAGTTTAACTTCTAACATAGTTTATAATAGACACATTCTATATTGCAAAGGTGACAGTACATGTACATTTAAATAGATCCACAATTCAACGACAATTGGTGTCACTAAACACTATAATTATGAAATATAGAAACTGGAAAAGATTGATCACATTGTGACATCAACCAATGTAACCGCGCATTCTACAGTTGTCAAATTCATTTTGCAAGTTTTCGTATCAAAACAAGTCACTCAAATACGATATGAAACGCATGAAAAATACTTGTTTGTGCTAATTATCAATAATATGAATAATACCGATATGTTGAAAACGAGTCAAATGAAGACGTAAACGGTATCGATGGCATTTAATCCTTAAGTTTTTTGACACTAAATTGCAGGTGTAAATTGAATCACTTGACCCAGGAAGAACTTCTCACCTTCATTTGACTAGCATTGATGTAATCATGATCTGGGGAGTCTAGTATCACACGATTCCTCTGCACTAGAATGGTATGGAAACAGAATAACATTTTAAACAGCGTTACGCTACAATTAAACATTGATACTTAAGAGTACGGGCAAATCCTTAAATTCTGTATACTGTTTGATGGTAATATTGTTTTTTTGTTTAGTATTTTTTAAGAACTGTTTCATTCTCTTGACATGCACAGGGGCGGATCGATCACCCCCACTCTCCATACTCACAAAAAGTGATTCGATATCCCCTCTCTGCCTTCGTGTTACATTTAAGGTATTCAAAGCTTTGGGTATCCCCCAACATGTGCTCTCGACATCGTCATACATTTTACCACGACGTTCTCTATCTCTTCAGTCAAGAATCTACGAATTACATACGTGCACCAATAAAATGCGGTTTCAACATTGGTGCATGTGAGTGCGTATGTGTGGTAGTGATGGAAAAGGGAACCATTCTGTTAGTCAAGTGTTGTGAGTGATCTCCATATACTTTGTACAGGAGCTAAATGAGATTGGCATTTGAGAGTAGTGGTGGGGCCGGGGCAGGGCAGAGGATTTTCAATGAGGGGATGAAGAATCTGTGTCGGAGGGGAGATGAAAGGGGTGGCCCGATGTGTTCACCCAATTCTAGTGCTATCCATGCCAACAACGCATATCAAGACTTATTTCATAACGACTGCGATTACAGTCCGGAGTCAAACTTGGATATATCACAAAATATAGTTTTTTGATCCTAACATTACTTACATGGTAGGTTGTTCCCGTATCTATTCTTTGGTTGGTTATCTGGAGTGCGTCCTGATCTTGTTTGAGAAGCCGGAGGATCTGGACAGAGGCTCTTCAAAGTCTGATTAAAATCAGAGAATAATGATGTTTCATTTATGTTACGAATTACTTTAATAATCATCATCAACTTAAGTTAAGGTATCTTTTCACGCATGCAGAAATATAGATCCAGCTCTAATGTTAGCTTCTTTCATTCTGTACATTTTATCTACCCAAGGTGATCTTCAAGGTGTTACACAATTGTATTATATTGGCTTTATCCTAGCCGCCTCAAGGTTATGAACGCACTCAGGAAAATTTAGCTATACTACTTTCTAGTAGGTACTGATTCACTAAACGTAAGTTTAGATAGAGTTGCGGGTGGGATTCAAAGAAAGGAAACATTTATTTGATTCACAGTTCAGTGGTTTACGGGTCACGACATCCTTAACATTTTCATCGTAAGATGATCAACTTGTGATGATGATTGGAATGTGTTACCTGGAACTCCTTGGTCATCTTGGACCGTCCACGTCCGTCACCTGAAGTGTGTAAGTCTTGTAGATGATCAGTGAAATGAATGACAGGGATCAGGGTATTCCTCCAGAGAAGATCCTCCAGGACAGCCCCGTAGATGAAGGCATACTGCTCCTGTAATCATGTAAGGAACGAATGCGTTAAATTTGTATCAATTCCATCTCATCTACTAACACATTTTAGATTTACGACATGCGAGAATACGCGTACATCAGAATCAAAGCGTAGAACAAGCAATACCTTATGCTCATTTCTTGTTAATGAATCTTGATATTAAATACATTCCCTTTGATACTTTGTTGATGTACATCTAATAATAGTAAGTAAGAGGTATTGAATATTTACTTTGGAAAAGAAGGGTTTTCAATCATTCAAAGATTTATATAGTACCTACAGAGTATGAAGCATACGTCTTTAAAGAAAACATGACTAAAAAAACCCAGCTGTTTAGATGTATATGCATATTGATATTGTTTTTAATTCCACAACTTGTCATGTAGAATAATGATAAAGCCAGTCCCCGCAAAAGTATGCACACATTAGATTGAAATCCATTGCTCTTATCAGTGTCTAAACTAAAAAGATTGTGTGTCCAACGGCAGCAGCAGTTGATGTATGTTTTAAGAGGTAACTGACCTGTGTTTGGACCATGTATGGTCGTTTCTGTCTCATGTTCGTCACGAAGTTGAAAACATCTACCATTCTAGTTCTCTTGGCGTGAGCTACGACGCTATCAATACTGGTTACCACGCCTGTTCGTCCAACACCAGCACTGGATAGAAAATATAATGAAAAACTAATAAGTCATGTTGTCGAAATGTGATTTTTTTTTCCAGCACAAAATCGCATTTTCTCCGGATTTAACGATGTGCGCGCACATTAGCTATTGGACGATAAAACAAAGTCAGCAAAATATTCAAGCAATTTCAATTGAGATAGGCATAAGTTTAGGACACAAGATTTCCCTGTAGCAAAGCCCGATCCCTATACCTTAAAACAAATTAAGAAGTTTTTTTTCGGCTAAAATCTACTGTTGTCATTCTTTTTTTTTCTCATTATCGTTGTATTTCTTAAACACTATCATGATCTTAAAGACTTTCGAAAAAAAAGAAACCTTATCCAATTTTAATAGCCTTGTTCGTCACCTTTAACAATGTGCGAGCATTAATTACGATGACGTAAGCAATACTATAGAGTATCAGAATTGCCATTGAGTTGATTTCTTGAAGGTCTTGACGATGGTGTTTGTGGTACTTGTTTTGATCTAGATGAAATGGACCACTAAGCCTACCTGCAATGAATGATCAGAGGATGAGTGTACTGTCCATGATCAGCTTTGACCTCCTTGATGAACTTGAGCAGTGATGAGGTGTGTTTAGGAACACCCTTGTCAGGCCACTCTGTGAAGTGGAACTGTGTAACTCTCCTCGACTCTTCACCCTGTTTTAAAAGTCACAACGAAAGAAATATAAACCTCTGTAAAGTATGATTCTGAACAATTTTACTGCGCAAAAATAATCCTTTCCGAACCGATGGCATGAAAATATAAGCTTTTCATTGCTGTTTCATAAAATACATTGACATTGAGTTTAACAGGAACTGGTAGAGAAATCAATAGGTCTAGAGAACAAGGGGTAGACCAAGATCAGAAAAACGATTTCAAACAATCAAATATCAATGACGAAATGTATCCTTTTCTCAAAGAAATCTTTGGTGTATATCTAGGGGAGATGGTAAACTTCTAGCAGAAAAGACACATGTTTACAAAAAATGAAAATGAAAAGCTTGATTTTGTCTCATTTGATATTTCTTCAAATGCGATTAAATGCCAAAAATAATGCAGTGTGCTGACAATATTTATCGTGATAAACAATTATTTATTAATTTATTCATTTGTAACTATTTTTTAAATATTTTTATTTACCTGGGGTAACCCCATAAGTGCGTAAAACACTGTTATACTCGGGGCCTCGGGGGCCCTGCAGCATTCCCGAGTACATGTACACCTACCTTGCGCATAACCATCCTTCTTGCCACACCGCCTGTACATGGTTCAAGTTCCATCAGTTCTACTTTGATTGTTCCAAACTCCACCGATTGTCCTTTCCGATCTGGCCAGTACTGACGGCATTTGATCTGTTAAAACAAAGAGCGACAGATCGATCAAATTCCAACACGATTTATCTACAGTAGGCATAAGGTTGGAGAAGCTATGTGCTACTGAGGGGAGAAAAAGATGATGAAACACCTTTTAGACTGCCCCTTCCAACCGGAACCCTGGACTCCCAAAGACCTGTAATTTTTCAATGTCAAGGCCATATCTTTGTTCATGCACTGGACGTGGCTCGTGTAGTGGCTCGAGAAGAAGCACATGGGTATAACAAAGTCGCGACTGTATTTCAGTTTAACAATATCCTACCCCGCCCCGAAAAGAGAAAACAAACTAAAAGGATCGAGCCATACCGTCTATACAATAAATGCATGGGCGGTTCAACTCCAGTTCAAAATAAGGCCTATATTCTGCCTTGTCTACATTTCACGCATTAACTCAACACAGTCATCAATATTTATTACTATTGGTGACGGTTAATATCAACACCAACAACAAAAGAAATACGAACAAAGACTGTTAAAGCAGTGCATGCAAGTTCCTTTTAGACTTACAAAATGTACCCATAACAGCTTCATAATTGCCAATTCACCGTTGAATATGGCACTGTTAACAACACTTGTCAATGTAAAAAGCTAACAGTAGAATCCCAAAATACCCTCCTAAGATTCAAATATATTCCATAATTCAAAGATGAACAAGTTTTACTGACCTTATCTCCTTCCTGGAGCTTCGTTACCATGGCAATAGTCGTCACATTCTCCTGCCAGACCATCCTCCAGAAATCATCCATAGAGGTCTTGTTCGGTCCTTGGAGAAATATTCAGTAATGGCTCATCAGAAATTAACCTTTTGCACTATGTTGTAACTTATCGGATAACCGACTGCTTTATATTATTGAATAATGATTTGACTCTATCTAATTTTGCATTTCATAGACGAATAATAGATTAACTTGAAATAGAGTTACGAAAAACCTAAGTCACACAAATTTTATTTACAAATTACCACTTGTTAAACGTGACGAAGAGAGTAGAATAGACATACCTTGTGATGCAATGTAAGCCTTGTCATCGTCAAAACTCTGCGTGTGAAGAATAACATTCAATTGATCAAAAATAGATTAAAATGAAACTGTACATATATCAAGGCTTAAGGAAAATTTTGGTCTCTGTTTATAGCACAACTTTTTCCGCAGGAATTAAAAAAAAAAAATAGAAAACAAGATCAAGAAAATCCAAGTCATATGAGGAATGAATTACAGCTTCAACCAATAGTGGGATTTTCATTACATGTGTGTGTGCATTTGTGTGTGTGTACATGTGCTAGGGTGTGTATTGAATATAGATCCAGCGTATACAACATGTATTCTACATCACGTAGTCTGTAAATTCTTGCTGCATCCAGTTTATATAACAAGATTTTATTGTGCTTTTATTCTGTCACGTTATTTCATTCATATCATTCATATAAATTGGACCCTTCCTTCAACGACGACCCACTTTATAACATCATAATGAAATTACATAGTAATGACAATTTATTTACAATTAATGTATAGATAAATTGATACATGCCACCTTACTTACGGGAATGTAAGAAGCGTTAAAGTAATCGGAATGAGGGATATCGTCGATTACTTCTAACTTCACCCTCGCCGAATCATCTGGATAAAAGATACAAATGTTTATTTAAAAAAAACAAGTCAGCCAGTAGCTTTTAATGAAAAGTTCTTCGTTTAGTAATTTCGTCTTTTATTTTCGTTATCATTTTCCGGCAGAGTAACTAAAACATCAAATTGAACAATTAAATTTAAAAAAAAATTTTTTTTTAGGTTTTAAATGCAGAGATTTGACAATGGACATCAACTCCTTTCTTCTTTTAAATTAAGATTGTAAACTTGCAACATCTATTTACAGAGATTTAAATTTCATATTCTAAATATAGAATTATGACATGGCATATTAACATTCATCAGAACATACATTGGTACACTTTAAATCATTCGAACTGTGATGCTCCATCGCAGCAACCACCGCTACAGTTGCAAACTACTATTATTAAAACAACGATAAATATATTATCTAGAGCTTCAACGAACCAAACTTTTATAGCTATTACAAACTAGTCAACAACATAATAAAGGCCATGTTATTTTGTGTACTCACATGGTAAAATATTCTTGTATCTGTTTTTCTTGAAGTTGATCTGCTCTCGAGCCACGGTCTGAGGATAGATGTCTGGGCCAGGTAAGTCCTTTAGGAGAGAAAGGAAATATAATTTCAGTTTTAGTTTATTGTTTCACATTTTGCATATATTAATATTATCAGAAAACACTACAAATAAAGATGAAGTCTTGTATCGGAGACTAGAACAAAAGGCGGCTGACATCAAATCAGCTTGATTGCATGAATTATGAAATGAAAAGTTGCGTTTAAGAAAAGGGAAATATGGAGGAGCCTATAAGTGAAAATAAATATTATAATGCCCACGGCGATATATTTCTGAAATTAATTATTATGTTTCGTTACTAGTCATACCAGGAACCTAGAAAGATCATCTAAGGAAAGGAATCTGGAATGGCATGATATTTGTGGAACAGCGGCTGATCGAACACAATGCTGAGAGAGCTTGCTACCCAGTGTTCTTAACAGCACAATGTAGTCTACGAGTAGCCCACATGTGCATGCCAAAAAGATTTGTCAAGCGCGAAACCATAAAAAGAAGACAAGTTTCTTGCCCGTTTCTTGTAAATAGAAATTATCTTCATTAAACCTACGTGAAATTCCTCGGAGAAGAGCGCAGTGTGTCTGTTCTTGTTGACGAACGCGGGAAACTGAGCCACGGGTATCGGTTGACGTGTGCCAATAGGTTTGTTGCTAGATCTTTCCGGAGATCCATCGGTGAAATCAAGGTCTAAGGATTTAGTTCTCCTTACATCGGGCTTGACGGCTACAGCTGGTTTGGGTCTTGTGCTCCTTGGAGTTGTGCGCTCCGAGTTCAAATTGGAGGCGTTTCCACTGTAGTCATTTTCTGACATAACACATACAGAAATAAAGAAATGTAATTTTACTATTCTTTTTAGGAGGAAGAGGCCTAGGTTGGTACAACGCAGAATCAACCTATACTGCAAATAACTAAATAAATCCTTAGTTCCTTACACTTGATTCATTTTTACTTCTTCCAAAAAGTTGCCTTGTTTGTGACATTATGAAACAATGTAGGGCACAATCACTTCTGGGCACAATTGAATTGTAAGAATTGTATGGGGTTAGGAATATAGAATATGTAATCTCTTTATTGTCAATTATATTGTCGTTTCATGCTATTATGACGGTTATATTTTGTCACCCGATCATAATACTTAATATCTAAATATAAACCTACCTTCTAATGACATGTCTTGAAAACCAGCTGATGCCTGAAATTGTTCCTCGATGTTTCCTGTTTTAGAAGGATTACCATCATTTCTTTGAAAATAAAATAAAAAGATTCAGTGCAAGCTATCGAAAGCGAACAATAAGTAATCAGAAGAGAAAAATATGAGAGCTGGTAAATATCAGACTTTTAGAAGAACTATATCGGTAGAGTATTCATTGAAGAGAGAAATAAAGAATTAAAAGAGTGTTGATAGACATTGATTTCCCAATTTTCCTTTTCTGCTTGTTCTTAAAGTCCGTACATCAATATTGTTTCCACTTCCATCGAAAGTATGGTAGTACTCAGAGTGGATTACGGTATAATTACGGTATACGTGAGTGACAGCATTCTACATGGACATTTTTAATGGTGACTGAAATATAGAAAACAGGGCACAAACCTTCGTCGTTTGAACACGGTGATGACTACAATGATGACAATCAAAATGATCAGAATGCCGCCCACGGCTCCCCCAACTGTCGATGCTATAGGACCCATATCTGATCCAGTCATTCCTGCAGTCGAAATGGTTGATGGGCCCAGTGTGGTGGTTATAACAGGAACTGCATTTGTGATCAAACGATAAAGAGTAACGAAATCAGAATTTATTAAAATACTTTCAAGAAAATTTTCAAATTCAGTTTGCTAATAGTTATGTTTCTATTCAACCCCTGTATGGTAACAAATCTATTCCGCCACCAATAAGGAAGAAAATCTGTGTTTGATCGATCGGAACTTTAAAAATTAATAATTTTCCTATTTTCAAACAAAATTTTCTCAAACTTTCACTGGCTTGTTGCTCTCACTGTTCTGCTTCCATTAAAACCAACTCAGTATGAGGGGAGACTTCCATAACAATGTTTTCAACACAAAATGTAGAAGTTAATGCAGTTATGCAGTTAAAGAGCACGCGCGCTTACAGTGACTCGGTAATACTGTTGAAGGTTGATGAAAAAACTGCGTAGTTTGTGTATGAAATGTTACTTATTATATTCCTTTTACTGTACTAACCCTCTGACATGCACTAAATCCTGAAAAACTCTGAAACCACAAAGATATTTATGAATTTCTTTGAAGGCATCACTGTGCGACACTCTCTAAAAGTAAATTCTCCCAACCATTTTTTAATTTTCCCAACCATTTTTCCATGAAATTGAGACATAGGAACTTCACTACCTTATCAACACCATTGCCTCTCATGTTTAATACCAAGTCCCTTTAAGTAAGAGGAAATCGCATACAAAAGTCGCGGTTGTGTTTAAGTGGTTAAGCTTTAAATTAATTTATGACAAGATAAGAGAAAATTAAACCCCATTAGAGGACCCCGAGGTGTGTCAAACTGGAAAGCATAAATTAAATTTGCAAAGTTTGAGCACGTTTCTTATATGTTGTCCTGTCTATTCATAAAGAGCATTTCATTTATGTAAAGGTATGGCGAACGGTAGCTGTCCGTAGAATAGTTGTAATATTATGAATATATCCCATGTTATTAAACTGTTACAAACACAATCGCAGAGACTTTTGGAAAGTCACCCTGGAGCAAGTCCGATGGCCTGATCTGTGTGAACATTGCAATGACGCGTTGTATATCTGACCATATTTTCTATGAGATATATGCACAAATGTATTGAAATTGCCGAGTTGATTTCCGAAAGTCTTTTGGCCCGATTTCAAAATGTTAACCCCCACCCCTTGAAAAAATCCTGCGTACGCCACTGCTGGAAAGGGTTCATTCTAATGTTCAAAGCAAGCCTTAGAATGGCATGTGCTTTATCTTCATATCAATGCTATCACACACCATTCGGAGAGAGAGAGAAGGGTGGAAAGGTAGAGGGATGGGAATACAGAGAGGGGAGGGAGAGAGAGGGAGGAAGGGAGAGAGGAAGGGAGAGAGTAAAAAGATGAATGAAAATGGCTCATAAGGCAGTGGGAAATACATTATAGAACCTACCACTTTCAGTTGTGAATGTCATTGCTGGTCCTTGTTCTCCTTCACCGTTGATACCATCTCGTATCGCTGCAATCTGAACGGAGTACGTTGATCCTGCTTCAAGTCCACTGACGTTATAAATGACCATCTCAGCGGCATTCTCAGTAGACCTCTTCGATACGGAACGGTCCGTCATGGGGACCATGCTTGGGGGTTGTACTTCTTTTTCCGACACGACATTGCTACCTGATAGCACGTAGATCTTGTAGCCAACGATAGGTCCTTCCCCGGTATCATCGCTAGGGTCCCATTGTCTCCAACCGATGAGTGCATGGTATCTTCCAAATTCAATTATTTCTGGTACACCATTAAAACTTGGTAAAACTACAAAGTGTAAACAAAATAAACAAAGAAACAGTGGGGAAAAAAGTATAGTACGCATTTATAGTCACTCAATGGTTTCTTCCTTCGCCATCCGCCCAGAAAATAAGATAAAAAATAAGCAGGTAATGAACAACATTGATTGTACCAAGAAAGCTTGTAACTAGTATTTCAGTATACTACCAGCAATTTATTACATTGATTACATTATTTACGAGATGTAAATATGGGACATAATCTTTTGAAATTATTATGTGAAATATTTAGAATACTAATAAACATACGTGCATTATGGAAAATGACCCGGCTCAAATCAAATCAAATCTTAAAAGTAGATAAAGATTTAAAAAACTGAACTTAAAATAAAATAAAAAAGCTGATCCCGTAGTATTAACTATTATGCTTGGAAAGCTTTTTTGTGTGTTACATGGAATCGTTTTTAAAATGCATAGATCATCTAAGAACTTGTAGAGTACAACATTGAGACTGTCGCAATAGACTGCAGTGGGGACTGCTTACCAAAGTAATATCTTGGAGGTAGCCTCACGAAAGCAAACTCTGATGAATTCTCAGGTACCCCGATGAAGCAGTAAATTGGTTTTTCTGGCCCCGTATACTCGTGGATGAATGAAATATTGAGGGTTGGTCCTGATGTATCAGAGCTATTATTGAGGGTTGGTCCTGATGTATCAGAGCTATTATTGAGGGTTGGTCCTGATGTATCAGAGCTATTATTGAGGGTTGGTCCTGATGTATCAGAGCTATTATTGAGGGTTGGTCCTGATGTATCAGAGCTATTATGAGATATCCAGGGTCCCGTAAAAGACCTTCCTACAGCTGCCTTCACATAATCAGAGGAAAGAGTTTGCCCCGGTGACGCTGTGAAGGAACAAGAGAAGATCGCTACTCCTGGATTGGTCTTTTCCAAGCTCGTCTCAAAACGATCTAAATTTGTTGAAAGAAGACAACAGCATAATGAGACGAGTAAAACAGTTCAACAGACAGACGGAGAGGAAGAAAGAAATAGTGCAAGGGTATGACACAATTTAAAAAACTTTCAAATATATGAACTTAAAGGCAATATCCATACTCCACTGTATAGCGAACATTCATAAACTTCTTTTAATTTATCTAGCATGTCTTTGCCATGAATTAGTACAATTGATAGATAATGATAAAAGGAAATGTGTTACATAATCATGAGGACTGAACTGCTTCCTTCTTCTTCCACTCGAGTACAAACCTCTTTACAGAGTATTGTCGTACTATACTGGGGTGTGCAGGTGGACCACTACAGCGGGGTTTCCCCCTACTCTTATACGAATAGTGCAGTGGATTCTTAATGTACAAAGGTAGTGACTCTTCTCTCCATTTAACGTCCAATCAAAATATATATTCTTCTGTGCTCACTGCTTGACTTAGATAAGCAGCTCATAATTATGAATGAATGTGTTTTTTATATTAATGAAAACTATGTTATATGGAAGAATCTAATTATGTTGAATCTCCCTAATATGTCAGACACTTGGCAGGAGAAAGGTATTTCTTTCAATCCTAGCTACCTGTTTGGCATTGATCCCCCATCCATCTTGGATGACAGGTGGATGACAAACAATCACCATTCAAAAAGTTACAATCCTCAGCACCACCAGAACAATGACATGTCTTTGAACAAGAGCTGAAACATCCTGAAACTAAACAAGATAAATAAAGTACATTCTATCATTCATAAAACTAGAATTTAAATTGAAAGGAATAAAGGGATATCGCATAACATTTGTGAAAAAATTGACTTGATGAGAATAAACAAATACAAATGTTCAAGTATACTTTTACAAAGCAATTTACATGTGTTTCAAATATCTAATCTTATTGGTAAACAAGTTTAACAAAGGGTATTAAGAGCTGTTGGTTACCTCAATTCAATTCATTTATTCACTCAATATATAACAACAGATACATAAAATGGAGTATGAACGCATATGAAAAATATAACAAGATGGACATAATGGAAGCACAAGTAATATAAATTGAGTGGGGATCAGATTAAAGATCTATTTCAAGATCTTGTGAATTTGACCCAATTGTGATGTATAAATTGCATTGAATATTTTTGCATGTACAACAACAAGAGGGAATGAATACATGTACATAAACAGCTGGGTCTGGGGATGTTAATGACGTAATATCAATGTATTTCAATAATTGTCAGAAAATATACATGGAAATGGGTTTGCTAAATTGATATATCGTTAAAATGGTAGGGACTTTCATGCGAGCATTCGTTTGTAAACTTTGTTGTATTTCAATTTGAAATATCACTAAGAATAGTCTTACATGTCATACAGTTGGCTGGAAACTCGACAGAATCAGTGACATATCCCAAGTCGCATCGCCCTTCAACCTCGTCACAGTATCCAGAATCTTTACGGCATGCTGTGCCATTCCTGCAATTGCATTTCTGTGTACAGTTAGACCCGAAGTATCCGTTTGGGCAAACAGAAGGAACTAAAATGAGAAAATATACATTTTGTTACATAAAAATAAAATATAATAATTGGAAAAAAAACACAAATCACGGGCAGTATAGTTTAAGAGAAGGACCATCCTTTAATATGTATACTTATTTGTTACTGTTTCTACTCGAGACATTTACTTTTTCATTGCGTTAAAAAGAGAAACAGAATGAAGGCAACTTGCATTTTTATTCCGTAAATTGTTAGTCAGATTACCGTTTAGAAAATGGTAGAGAAAATGCAAAGATCCTTTTTTTTCTAGAGATGGAATGAAATCGTGATATGGGAATATTCTACAAAAATTGTTTTTTTACATCAAAATGAAAAGGTATTGCGTTGGTAGAAATACTTAAGATGAAAGTCTTGGACTTATCTCAGGTGTTTATTTTACCAAGGAAATAGTAATCAGCATTGTTATGAGCTTTTATATGTCATTTTGAATTAAATTAAATGATTGTACCTTGACATGCTGAGCCAGTCCATCCTAGCGAGCAATCTCCGGGACATTTTCCAGTGACGTCATCACAATCTGCTTTATCAGCACAGTGACATTCTTGACCACAATCAGCTCCAAACACACCGTCTGCACATGCTGTAGGATGAGAAAGACGAGATATTACGAGATTCATGACTTTGTTGACATAGTGTTTAATGAATTTGCTCCCCAGAACATTTTAATAGGCCATTTTCGTAATGTAACCAAATTTAATGCATAAGTCTTTGTGAAGTGCCTCAATACAGATTATTTCATTCACCTGATAAGAATAGTAGTATTTCAATAGACAGATTCCGAACTGCATACATAAGTTGTTGCCAGGTTGGACAAACATTATGGCTTGACCTACCTAGCAACACTTAATATATGCAATCGCATTCTGACTATTGAAATACTATTATTCCTATCAGGTGAATGAAAAAATTTGTATTGAGGCACTTCACAAAGACTTATTCATTAAATTTGGTTACATTACGAAAATGGCCTATTCGCGTGTGACATATGCATAATTTTGTTCGAGTAATACACAGGTGTCCATTCTAAAATCCTGATAAATTTCATGCATATAATTATAAACCCGCTATTCGTTTATATACATGTTGAGGAAACACCATAATTATCTCCAACGTGTAATCCATTTTAGACAAATCCTGTCAAATGATTTAGATTTTAACCGTACATATTGTATAAAACACAAGTTCAAAACCATTGTTGTTTAAATGTTTCTGATTTCTTCCCAATGCCAATCATTATAGAATTAGTTTTAGCACAACTTACTTTCATTGCAGTAGACTCCTGTATATCCAGCTAAACAGTTGCACCCATAAGGATCAGGTAGACAGATCTGACTTCCAGCACACTTGTCCAGAGGCTGACCGGATCCACATTCAAACTCACAGTCCCAGCCAAACTTATGCAACCCACACGCTGCATGGAACATATACATAATTTAGAGTGTTAAATTTAGGTATAAATCACGAGTTCTAAAAGGGTCCTTTCTCAAAATTATCAATGTTTGTCTTCATATAAGTGTAGACTTTAAAAACCCTGTTGGTCGACAATAAACGGAAAAATATTCAACAATTTCATTGCTGATAAACATCGAAATCAATTGTATGTTATGTTATAATATTCATTTTTTATGAATTTTGTTTTATCAAAATAATTATTAATTATTAATTATTATTTTTATTATTTTCATCATCATCATAAGCCTTCTTCTTCTTCCTCTTTTCCTTTTCTTCTCCTTCTTTTCTTCTTATTCCCTTTTTAATTGTTATCGTTGTTGTTATTATTATTCAGAATTACCATCATAAAACTATAAGTATCTAGTCGTAAAGATTCATCTTAAGGCAAAGAATGTATTAGATAAAGAAAAAAAGGTTTATATTTTAGTATTTTTTTCAGGGATATCTCGATTTTACCTTGGAGGCAGTTCTTTCCAGCATGGCCAGGAGGGCAGATGCATGTTCCTGAGAGTTCGTGGCATACACCTCCATTGTAACAACTATCACACAAACGATCGCATAACGGCGGATTCCATCTTCCATAAGGGCACTCTGTTAATGCAATGAAACGTGAACAATAGTAAATTTATGTTTCTAGGACAATTACCCCCTGGACAATCACCCCCCCCCCAAGGAAAACCACCCCTCGAGGACAATTACCCCTCCCCCAAGGACAATAACCCCCCTTGGAAAATCAACACCCCCCCCCCCTCTAGGACAACAGCCCCCCCCCCCTCTAGGACAACAGCCCCCCCCCCCCCCAAAAAAAAAAAAAAAAAAAAAAAAAAAAAAAACAACTTATTATCATGGTGGACTTCTCCTTTAATGAACAGGGGGTAATTTTCCGGGGAAATTGTCCTCGGAAGTGGTTGTCATTGGTTGTCCTGGATGATTATTGTCCAAGGGGGTAAATTTTAGGGGGTAATTGTCCTAGGGTGTGATTGTCCAAGGGGTAATTTTCAGGGGTAGGTAATTGTCCTCGGGCGATTATTTTCATGGGGTTATTGTTTTCGGGGGGTTATTGTCCTTGGGGGTAGTTTTCCGGGAGGTAATTGTCCGGGGATGATTGTCCAGGGCGTAATCGTCCTGATACTTTTAATCATTAGTCCATTGTACAAAGTTAGAACTACACAATTAGGACATGAAGCTGTTACATATAAATTCTTGTAAATCCTCGATTAGACGTAATACTGCAGAAACTGTCATTCAAGTATGGAAATTACAATTTAACATTATATTCTTTACTGTCTCATTAACCGAATATATCTGGTCGATTCTAGTCGGGTTTTCCTGATTTGTTATATTACATTTGAATAATAGTTACAGAGCTGAAGGGAGAATTGTTCCTGTAAATTCACATCCTTGCGACCAATATGTAATGATATATTAACGACGTGTAAGGTAGAAGAAATCGAACCCTTTACGATGAGTCTTATGAAGCTGAATTGATGTTGTTCCAACGTTCCACTCTCGTAAGTCACATACACACCGGCGTTTGAGACAGATGCAGATTGAATTGTGTGTGATAGACTACCAGAACTCATTCCGATAAGTGAATCAGCCCAGTCTACATCAGTGATTTTCCGCCATCTTATCCCGCCTTCACCTACCATCCCTGTCGTGCTCATCACACTGAGTGTGATATTATCTCCAATGTGTACTGTCTTTGTAAACCGACCATCACTGGGTTGCCATTGGCCTATGAAATGAAGAGAAAAACAGATAAGAAAGAAAAAAATCGACAATTCAATCTCACATCTGAATCTTATTTTTTCTGATGCATTCACATTTCGCCATTGCTTCTTCACTCCATTAATCCTCCGTCATGTTTGCATTTTCATTGACGAAAAGTTCTTAAGAAGTAAAAGTAGGGGAATATTATTTCAAAAGTATTAACATTGATGGTATTTTAGGAGTGTTCAAATTTCAAAGTATTCAGAACAAATATTTACACTTAGTTGAATTGTTGTTGTTGTATATAATCATAAAAACATAGGCCAATGTTAAATCATATATACGTACGGGTAGAAGGAAGAATGCCAAGAGGAGCAGATGTCATTCTACTGGCTGTCACCGCAGAACATTCGTAAAATCCCAAGCCATCCATAGAAGCTGAAAGAATCTGCCTTAATACTACAGATGATACATCATTGATGTCTCCTGGAGCTGTGTAACTATCGAAAGTTATAGCCTCGGTCAGACGGACAAGTCTTCTGGTAGAGAATGTGAGAATCTCTTCATTCTCTGAGCCGAGTAGACAGACAAATGAAGCATTCACCAGACCTCCTCCGTAGGGGGGTGGAGTAGCTGCCATCAGACGTACAGGAAGGATCTGTCGCGGACCTATGGGAAAATAATTATTTTGTTCTAGTAATTGGTGTCTTCATTAGAGGAGAAGTAAGGGGGATACACATAACGTTGAAAAGGCAATGACTTATCTCACACTTCAACCTTACATTTCATATATTATGTTGCTCTTGCTGTTCCATGCAAATCAATTTTTTCATATATATATATTTTATTAACAAAGATACTTCCACTCCTAAAAATGAATGGTATCAAAATCTATGGGAAACACAATCTAAATGATATATGATACTTAATGAAGTCAAGTTTCCCTCGAGTTATCAACTGTAGATAAAGCCTTAATAACTAGGATCGTTTAATAACCAGGTTTCATATCTCATATGATGAAGTATTTAACTATTTACCTTAAAACAACGGTACAAGCACGGATTATAATGGGTGATATTCTGTTTAAAGTGGAAACTAACTATGGCTCTAAAACAGTGGTTTCAAAAAATTAAAATGTCATCAATTAGAATATTGTTTTGTTTGTGGCATTTGAATCATAAAGGTTACCCCTGAATATAGATAATAGAAATATAATGCCGATACTCACTCGGAGGTTTTTCACATGCGAACCTGAGGTACGATGTACATCGTAGTTTTCTCCATCCAAAATTAACCTGCTGATGAACACATCTTCCATTCTCAAATAGGGTTGCATCACCATTCGACCAAGCAGGAAATCTGGAAAGGTAAATTATGTTCGGAACAGCAACGTATTAACACAATATCAATAAAAGATATTTTTACTTTAAAAGGCATAATCATGAAAGATTGAAAGGATTATGTGAGCGTTTTGATTCGAGCTTCAGTTAAAATGTATATTATTAAAATGTAAATATAAATAAGTATGTTTTTCTTGCAAATCATGATCAGGGCTTGCATTTTAGGCTTGAGGTCTGAACACAAAAACGTGGAAAGTAAGACAAATTCATTATTTTTCCGGGGGGAAGGGGGTTGCCATCAATCAATTGGAAAACTCATCCTAAGCTTCATGAGTATCATCTTGTATCAGATAATCATAATATTAACGTTACCTACCAGTTTCTATGATCGCAGTTTAGCTATGGTCACAACCCCCAAAAGGAGCCTGGTCGGCTACCCGCGTAATATTTTTTTCCCACTTGAGCTCCGGACCCCCAGTATGAACTCATTTGCATACAGCCAATCAGAGCTCATCTTGTCAATAAAAAGCTTTAAATGTGCTAAAGATGCGAAATTCAAAACGATGCGAAGCTCTGGGCTTCACACACGTACACACAGCGCCTTACCTATATCAGCATGCATGGTGTGTGTGCATAGGCATAGGCTTGCAAATGTTTCATTTCTGCTCTAGCATCTCTACCTTTAGCAAATTTATTACAGATCTACAAATATCAGCTTATCAAATTGCAGTGAAAAACTGTTACTTAGCACTAAGTTACAATTACTCTAGCAATCAAGGATAGACCTCTCTCGTCATCAAAGCCACTATGGACCCATTTCTAAAGATTTTACGGTTAAGAATTTATCATAGATCTATACACCTCTAAATGGCACTAATATAATATCAGCTTATGAAATTGCCGTTAAAAGTTATTACTTAGCGCTAGATCTAAATTAATATTATTCTAGCAATCAATGATAAGCCTTATCGTCATCGAAGCCACTCTATATAAGGACTAATTTCTAAAGATTTTATGGTTGTGAAATTTATTATAGATCTACACCTCTACAAGGCTCTAATAATATCAGCTTAAGAAATTGCTTTGATGTTCTCAGGTAAGAATTCCTGCAATAAAAGAAGTAACAAATAAAGCTGATATTATTAAAGCCTTTTAGAGGTGTATATAGTCTAGATCTATAATTGGGCGGCGGGTTCAAAATCGGTCGGCAGCCTTTGACCTCGCAGCTTCGATTTTTGACCTATATCGCTCAACGGCGAACGCTGGATTAGGTCGGTGCCTGTCCGGCGGCCTCCCGGGCACTGAGCGTATTTTGGTGCCCCGCCGATCAACGGCCGGCCGCCGGGCAATTTCTTTAAGATCAGCCGGTGGCCCGTAGGAAACCGCTCGGAATTCGGTGGGTCATTAGTAGGGCACCACCCAGGCATCGCTGGGGCTCTTCAGCCTGCTCGATTTTTCCAGAAATCGTTGGGCGATGCCTAAATTCCAGCGGCGACCTAGCAGGCTACAATCGGTCGGTCGCCGTTCTGAGTTGTGACCATAGCTTATTTCATGAATATAGGGTGTGTGAGATATTGTAGTGTGTCTATGTATGAATAAAACAATTTAACACATACCCACTATTGTTGAGTGGAGTTCCATCAATCCATTGGAACGTGCCCTCTTGATTGATATCATCGAGTCCAAACCAATACGAGTTATCTCTAGCCAGCTTCATGAGATGCATCTGGTGAATGCATTGAGAGAAAATTATATCAGAAAGAGAAAAATCACCAACGATTCTTTCTAATGTGCCATGATAATGATAGTCGGATCATTTTATCAATGTGTCTATGGTATATGACATCATTGAAACTTGAACTAGTTGAAATAAGATATAATTTTGTTTCCTTATAATGTGCTCATCACAACAATATAGTGCTGCTCTATAAACCCTTTTCCAATTGTTTTCCCATAACCTAACATAATCTCTATTTCCCTTACATTAATGTTATTGTTTCTATTTTACATTTTTTGCACACACTATTGCTAAATTATTAAAAGCCCGTTACAATTTGTATCACGTTTTATTTACACGTTCCATACTTGGAATGAAACTTGTTAATATCACGATGCGTCCTTACATTAATTTCTTCTGTTTTAGGCTGGGCAAGATCACCTCCTTGATCCTGGCAGTACTTTCTAGCAAATGAGTAGGATGTCATCGAGGATTGAGAGATATAGTACAGGGTTCCATCAAGGCGACTCCATTCATTTTCAGGAACATCTACATATTGATTATAAAAAGATGATTGCCATTATTAGGTGTTCATCGTGTTTTGAGACAGAAAGATGACAGACTTACTTCGAACCATTACGTGTTATTGCATAATTTATATTCATCATATTTCATACTAATAAAACATTTCATTGCTATGAATGCGATGAATATCCCATTATTATGAACATTTCTCTACTTCCAAATAATGTAGGTATCATTAATCCTGCTTTTAACCGTAGCTCTCAGCGCGCAGTACATTCAATGAATAATTCCTACCAAGTACCCACTTACTACACGTGGGTCGAGCGTGGCTAAACTGGATTAATGTCTTGACAAAGGACGATAGTGATGTAGCAGGGATTCTTAACCCTCTCCTTGTAGCATGTAGGATAGTATGATGCATACGATTTTGGAAAGGTTGTGAAATGCGGAAAATAACTTAATAAATTCCAACTCGCTTTGCATCCTCGCACAAGTGTATTTTGTCATGATCACGTAAATTTACATGAATAAAATCGATACAAGCACTTTCAAGGGGTTAAAACTTTGAAAAAATCTCTCTTAGATTCGCTTTTACAGTGTAATTTTCATCGAGATCTTTGCGACCTTTGCGATGATGCAAACCCCTAGTCACTAGATAGACGCATACTCTGATGACTTATCCACAAGGTTAAACAAACAAAAAGAGTCAAAATAGTTAAATTGTAGTTAGAAATGAAATAAAACAACAATAACAATAAAATACATGAGTTAAGAAAACAAAGAAATACATAAGAAATTATCAAAACAATAGATAACATAAGGGATAAGCTGGCTCTTCCAATTCTTTGTCGTATTATTATTCTAAATGGACTAATGAATATATGTAGTGAAAAAGAAGGTTTGAATATGAATAATATATGATTTATGGGTAAAAATATTATGATTTTATGACTATATTTGCATAAATTACCATAAATATGCAAATGAGTGAATTTCTCAAAAAATTGAAATTATCATATTATTCTATACACTTCACTTGTCATGTGTGCAATTTTTTGTGGAGACCTCAAAGAGCCCGGCCTTTTTAGGGTTAAGTGCCAAACTTTTATCGAATTGAACCTTAAGCAATTTGAAATAAAGCAAACCATTTTTCGTTGAAGAAACGGAAACGATCATACATCATTGGCATGTGACTTACCCTGATAGCGTTCACATATGAAGGGTCGTATGCCATTGCATGAAACATCAACCCATCCCATGTCTGGATTAGTAGGTGTTAGAGTGGCACAATCTTGACCATTATAGTCGTTTGGTTGATCAGACCTCCATGAAGAATACCTGTGTGTATTGCATAAAGGAGAAATTAATGAGCAAACAGACGGTTAAAGAACGGTTTTATAAAAGATTGTTTTTTAGGGGTGCGTGTTTCTATTTGCTTTGTTCTTAGTTTTGTGGGTTTAGTTTTTTGGCATTATATTGGCAGATATGCAATCTTATTTCTGACAAGTGAAGTGTAATAACCCATGTCATATAAGTGCATTGTCTTATTCTTGGCTTTTAAATATTTAATCTCTCAACAGTAGTTTTGAGCCGAAACATCTATACTAATATACTTCCTCAATCAAAAAGCAAGTTCCCCCACAATTCTTTTCAATCTTACTCGAGAAAAAAAAATCATGAAATTAATGTATTCGGAAAGCAATGTATGCACTGCTGTTATACCTATATTCGGATTGCTAGTAAGAAAATTTTTACTTTTGATGCGGATTAAAAATACAAAATAATATACACTTGGACATGTACAAACGATGAAAATCATTAAAAAAGTATGCACCCTCCATTGCATTACGAAAGGCAAAATGCATGGGGTTTTTAGTACTAACTATACGATGTTCGGATAGATACGAAGTCGCGATTCATACGCCCCTAAATGCAGGCTGCAGATACGAAGTTCGTATCTAGAGAGCTTGACATTTTGTGTGTGAACTGTTATTCATGTTAAAACGTGTTTAAACTAGATGGAGCATGCGCTTTGTTTGATATGACATGACCTCAATGCGCAATGGCACTACTGCGCATTTTAAGAGCAGTAGTTAATCACGAAACGATTAACGATCGCACCGACATTTCTGTGTGTGAATGATGTCGTTTGTACAGCTGATTAGTTTAAAGCCCTTTAAACTAATCCTGTTTATATATTTTTAGCTGTGTGTGAAAAGGCTGCAGGTTAATGGCATTCCATATTTATTAAACCTACTGTAAAGGTGTTCCGTCGATCCATATAAATGTGCCGTCATTAGCTTGGTCAGTCAAACCAAAAAATATCTGGTCATCTGATCCCGAATATTCTTCAGAAATCCTGACATGGAGAAAAGTCTGTTTGGAAGGGGAAAAATGTCACCTCATTAACTTCATTCGTTTTTCATGTTTAATAATCAGTTTTAAAATAATTGGAAATCACAGTGTTTACATGACTGTTATATTACCTATGCTATCAACTACAAATCATCCTTTTTGGAATTGGCATTTGCTTCCGATTTCATCCCGCATTCACGAAGAACCGGTTTGTCTATCAAGTCACATACGTCATTCAATCGTGATATTACTTTATGAAATATTCTTTCCAATATTTGTATAGCTCAATAGCCACGTAAACCTCCAAGCTGTGATAGAAACTACTAATAAAACAACCAAAAATGTAATATATGTTTAATGATACAACATTTCAGAAAGCTGAATGAAAAGGAGTACATATAATTGAACATACATTGATATCGTGTGATTTGATGAGTGCTAAATCAGCTCCATGATACTGACAGTAGGTCCGTGCATCTGAGAAAGACCGAGCTAGCCATGACGGAGAGGTGAAATAATCTAGACCTCCAAATGATGCTTCACTATTTTTATCAGATACTGTAATAAAGCATAATTTCTAGTAGAGAGTTTAATGTGATGAGTAAGAGTGTGATATTAACTAAACTAAATTGCGTCGACTTTTCTCTGCCCAATTACGGAGCCCTTTGTGGGCCTAACAGTCGATGATTAACTTTGTTTAATGTTCCAAATATGTATGAAAACAGAGGGCGATTGCATTTGTTGTCATTTTTTAAAGGAAAACTTTTTCATCCACTGTCTGAAGAAGAAACTATTTCGTCGGTGTAAGCATCTCCCTGGTGTAAGAATGCGCAAGATTTGAAAAAACGATTTTCATTTTTTCCCTGAAATAAACAATTGCAGTGGTATCTTTTGTAGTAAAAGAAAATAGCCAAGTTTTGAATCAGCCAGACATCCCATAATGGTGTTCAAAGTGGAGAATGCATGGTTTTGTTTAAATAATAGTAACGGATTTCATTTAGGAGGTGGCGCAATATTCGAAATATCTATAAAAAAAAAATCAATTTAAAATTCAGCTTGTACGAATAGAAACATGCTCCAGCGACGATTGCTTTGCAATCGATTTTTTTACCCTAAACGAGGTCAAAACTTCAGCCCTTATTCTTAGGCTAACCCCGACCTTAACCCTTACCAACATGATCCAAAGACAAATAGTTTGTTAAAATATAGCCCGGAGCAACTGTCACTAGAGCACAATTAATGTTGGATCATCAGAATGCATACCTCGTGTACGCTCACAAATGTACGGTGAAGATAGCTGTGGAACCTGGTCATACCATGACGCGCCATCACGCGTACCAAGACAACCCCAGGAGTCAGCATTATTTGGTTCTGTGGTAGTATACCAATCATTATACCTAGGTGGAAAAACGGTTTATAAATCAAGTTCATATTGTGACCATTGTCATAATTATTATGATTATTAACAATAATAATGATTATATATCATGATAATTAGTAGTACATGTAGTACTAGTATAGTAGGAGTAATAGTAATAGTATTGTTATTAGTATTATTATCATCATCATCTTCATTATTCTTATCATTATCATTATTTTCATCATCATAATTGTTTATAATATTGATAATAATCATGGAGGTTCGGATATACATCGTTAAACTGAACCCGAATTTAAATCTGTATTCACATTAACCTCATCCCCCCTCCCTCCCCCTCGATATGCTACAGAAAAATGGAAGTATGTATTATGCCACAATATAGAGCAGAAATCTGTTCGTAACGTCATTATCTTGTAATGCTGAGCCGAGCTTTTTACATTCCATCTGCATGATATTCATCTGAAAAATAGATATTACAAAGTATGCTAATAAAGTGTATACTATTTTAATGAACACTGGATACATTAAAATAAAAATTGTTTCGCGGAGAATTGTAGCTACAGATTGAATCTAGAAAGGCATAGGCGTTCATCAACATGTAGTATTTTATCTTGACTGATCTTGACATAGGAAACATTTGAAGAACATACTCGAGTGCAGTATCATCCAGCCAGTAGAAAGTTTCCTTGCCACTCCTCCGAAGCCCGAAATAGAAACAAAAATATTGATCATTTGGATTGATTGGAGGTAGAAGCGATTTGAGGAATGTCTGTAAGCAAAATTGAGAAGAAAACAATCTTAATAAACGTATGATGTATTCACAAGTCAAGTCAGAATGAAAAACTTTATTGTGCTAATTGTAATAGTCAGAATGATAAGAAAATCAACGAAATCGGTTTTATACAAGAGCTCTATAGGCCCGCAAGAAATTATGAATAAAATAATCTATCACTGGAAAATATAGATGTAAAAATATGTTATTACTTCTAATATATACAGATTGATTCTGAACAAAATAAATGTTTTTTTTTGTTGGGAATACTCAATTTCTATTTAAAACTTTTAATTTAGGGGAGGGGTGTACATCCGTTCAAAGATAGTATGACCGTTTTGTTTTGTTTTGTCTAGTTTTTATTTCATTGCATAACAATATACTTACTTTTACTCATTTCTGCCGTGTAATTCAGTAAAGCGTTGCGTTAATCATGATTATTCGATATACAATAGGCAATTTGCGAATGAAAACACATTTCAAATGTAATTAAAACCAATTTAGTCCACAGACAATTCTCTACGCCTATCCACCACCCCCTCCCCCTCCCCCTCCCCCTCCCCCTCCCCCTCCCCCCCCCCCCCCCGCGAACCACTTGAACGCGATAACAGACAGGATTGTCTGAAATCAATTTGAAATTAAGTGTGCTGAAATTTGAAAATCGTGCCGGCCAATAGTTCGCTCCGTGGATGAGGGGGGGGGGGGGGGGGGGGGGGGTAGGAGCACAATTTTGTAAAAAAAAATTTGGCTACCGAAAATTTTAAAATCGCACCACCCTTGAGCGGTAAGGTGGGGGGCCATCTCCCCCAAAAAGGTAAAATTAACGTGTTTTTGCACGTTTTTTTATCCCCGGCCCCCCCCCCCCCCCCTCCTCCCTGGATCCGCCTATGATAACAGACGTGATTTTCTGAGAATATGGTCAGTGAAATCTGGTTCGTCGTTGTTTGCGGTGACATGGGTGGGGTCTCTCTATCGGGGGTGTACAGATTAAAGTTGTAGGTACATGTAGTTTGCCCTGTACTAGCGTATATTTTAGTTTCCTCGATTATCTTAATCATCTTGACCGAGTGCATACTGTATAAAATGTGTTATAAGACTTACGTTGATTTCGGCTGTCTTGATGATAGCCAAATCACCGTGGTAACTTTGACATGTTTCCCTGGCAGTACTTGGCGTTGCGTGGGGTGTGAACTTGATGAGATACTGAGATTCACCGAGCTCTTGCCATCTACAGTCATTGTCTGTTTATATAACATTAAAGACAACGTTACGCTATGCTGAAAATGAAAAACAGCTACTGAACTATTCCAAACTTAAATATTGGATGGGCTATCAAATCCAAAGTGTCAATGAGTATATATTTAACCCGTTTACAAGTATAACGATGCAAGCATTTTACAGCACTAGGCATTCTATTCATGCACAGTACTCATCATTAAAGGGCAATTATCCAACCCGTGTAATAAGTTAATTTGTATGAAAGCACACACAAACGATATAAAATATGGTGACAGTTTGAAATTAATCCGACCAATAATAAGAGAATTATGAAAGTTTGAAAAGCGAGGTCTCTAAATAAGTGCGAATCTCAAACTGGTAATTTAGTCTTTGGATGGTGACGTAGACACGGACAACTCTATCATTTGTCGTGTACAAAAAGTTTAATACCTTCTATTTTTTATTTCCCGTTTCCTTCATTGAGGTACTTTTGAACATATATTATGAAAAGCATATCATTATATACCCTCTGTAGAGAATAGACCCTCCTGAGTCATACATTTGTCAAAAATGTACATGTAATTCATTTAGTGTGTTGGAACAAATGGAAAGTTTTCCGCCTCTACATCATAGAAACATTACCTATTCAGCCAATTCAAAGAGGCCATACCTAAAGTGATTTTATTTCACCTTTGAAAAAATTCATAATTTTCTCATTTTTTTGTCTGATATTTTTCCAAATTTTGCCAGTCTGCTACTCTGCTCTTCAAGCTTTCTTCTAGTCTATAGTAGTTTGTTATGAAGGTTGGACTGACTTTAATACTATATATCAAAGTAAAACAGGTAGACGGTATGCTATTATATATTGAGGACGATATTTCTTTGGTGGAAATTTTATGGCAATTTTCGTGACATTTTTGGTGAAATTTTCTCGAAATATTGTCGAAATCCGCGAAAGAATGGTACAATATTTTGCGAAAATGGCCGTAAAATTCCACCACAATAAGCTGAGATAGCACGCACTCTCTTTCATAATCATAGGGATGTCAGTAGACAGTTCCGGTACAGTGAGACTACAAGAGTGCTGTCATGGTCAATCATATTCAAATTCAATCATATTTATACACATATTTTAGAAATCGTCTTGGACATCGCTGTAGACATTGATCTCTTCAATATACATCTACCACTCTTTAATTATATTTTAACTGGACTTTTATTGACATACTGTACGTCTGGAAATCATTTAATTTCATTTCAAATTGTCACCATTTTTAATAAAATGATATGAAATATATATTCATAAATTGCATCGAATAACTAATCGAATAATCATACTAGGCTAAATCATACATACGTGAACATTATGATTGGCAAATGAAAATGGTTGGGATACCCCTCCAGAAAGCATGTTAAATATTCGTAAAGCATGAACATGAATTAATTAATTACAGCAAGAACACTCTTTAAAATTACTATTGGAGTAATATATGGACAAAAAACTTTTAGGCTTCAAGAACATCATCTAAATGTTATCGCAGAATGTTTTTACTTGACATTACTCATTATTGTTCAGCAATCAACATTCACTTCAATAAATATGTGATGACATCACCTACAAGAGTGTAAAAGAATTATTGCCCCTTTAAGCTTGGTAAATTATGTAAATTTTACACAATGATTAAGGTTAACGATTTGATTCTTCGTTCGGCTCTTATCATTTATAATTAATTGTGTATCGTTACAGAAATGACAGCCCATCTAGAGCATGAATATCTGATGATCATCTCGAAATAGTGTGTTAAAAAGGAAAATGCGTTTGATCGTTATTTAGTATCAAAACGGCTCTCTGGTATAATTGTTTTGATATCACTGTACACGCCGTAGATAAAAACTGGGCACAAATAGTAAACAAAATTCGATCGTAAACATTTTGTATCAAGAACAGTCTGCCAATATCGATCTAGAATATATACAATGTTATTTATTCAATAGAATGAATCCAAAAAGATACTCCCACATCCTTCTCAATAGAAATGTACATGACAAGCGCCCAAGAGCAGGACCAGCTAAGAGATGGACAGACTGCATCAAGGCGGACTGCAATAACAGACAACTTAATTGACTCCCTGACTAAAGCCAGTAGGCTAACAGAAGATAGGAAGGTGTGGCAAGCCGTTGTGAAATAGAAACCATCAAACAATCCAGAGATGGTGTGGGCGGCTTAACTCAAGTAAAGTAAAGTTATCTTACACGCTCCTTCAGAACTGGACTAAACAAGGTGAGAACGAAAAATGACTTGAAATACCTACCGATAGGTATTTGGCAGATATGTTGTCTCTCTGATGTGCATGCTCGTCGGTTCCATCGTCCATGTATCGAGCTACTTCCAGACCTCATTACAGCACAGTAAGGTTTGTCTGGGTTGTATAAACTAGAATCCCAGTTGGTATACCTTGAAAATGATTAATTTATATATCTAATAGAATTAACAATTAAAGAATCATGAACTCCACGGAAATACTAAATAAATATATGAGACAAAGGCCCACTACATTATGACTCGGTTGTCTTTGGAGAAAAAAAGGACATTGAATCTTCTGGTAAATCAGTATGAAGTGCTTATGACTGATTTTATAAATACATTGAAATGGTAGATTTTACATGTAGCTAGGAGTTTTTCATTCATTCCTTGACGGAACTTGAGTCTAGAGAAAGTATAATAAAAGTACATGCTTTGGCATTATCATAAATAACTGCTAGCAAAAAAATATCATTTAGTAGCATGAATTTCAATTGTCGATTTTGGGATATAAAACCTTAGCGGTTTGAACTTGTGACACGTGACATTTCGATTTATTACACAAACGTTGCAGATTTTGCATGACTCAGAACAACCTGGAATATGAAGATTTGATCAAAATGTGATATATTAGCAATAATTCAATGATTTATGTGGTATTATGACTCTCAAATTAAATTTTAGTTCAAAACGATTTGAATAATGATTTAAGATGAGACGACTCAGGGTTAGAGCAGTGGTCTCGTAATCAGGAGATCCGGGTTCGAAACCAAGTGGCAAGTCAATGCGCTACTGCCATTTGGTAAGCCATAAACCTTCATTACCAAGTCCCTCGTTCGTAGAGGACTTACGGCCGTCGGTCCTCTGGTTGCTAACTCAGAAACATAACGTGCCTTCCTAGCAGTCAGGTAGAACCAATCACACACAAAAATTAGGGTTTCACCAAAAGAAATCCACAATTATGCACAGCCATTATTACCACTGCCATAATGAATATTTGTTATAGGAAAACGATTTGAAAAACATGAGTGGCATTTTATCACGACGATAGTTGATACATACTCAGGGTCCATTCCATCAATCCATTTGTATTCATCATCCTTATCCGTGCCTTCTAAGCCGATGTAAAAGTTACCATTCCTCGCCGGTAATCTCGTGGCAATGAAAGCCTATTCATATTATGAAGAAAAGAGAAATATATTGGAGATTAATATCAACGTAGCGCATTGCAACATTGTCTAATCTCGGGGGAGGGGCAAAGTAAACACGCCCCCTCCCCCCCGATTCAAAGGATCAATATCTTAGTCGCATGCATTGCGTTCAAGGCTCAGCCCCCCACCAGTTTAGTTTAAGTAAGCGTATGCATGTTCCCTCCCTTTGAAAGAACCCCCCCCCCCCCTAAGTCCGGTGTGTATACGGGCCGATTTGTGTGTGTATTACGAGCCGGACTTTGATGCGTGAAAATTACCCCTTTACTGGAGACTTGGGAAACATGAATGCGGTCCCTCCGTTCCCGGAGTGGAAGGGGGAGGGGGGGGGGGGGCCGGGGCTCAGCCCCCTCGAACTTTCGGCTCATTGCAGTAGTGGTTACAATGGGAATGTTCAACCAGTATTCTTAAAATTTTCAATCGGAGTTTCAGATGTCACATTTTCCAAACACGTCAACGTATATATATATAAAGGTTTATGTTTTTAATTTCACTGGTGGGAAATCGTGAGACAGTGGACACAAGCACCAGTTTAGTTTTTTTATTATTTTATCTGAGAATTAAAAATGGTGTACCTGTTGGGTGGTTGGATTAATGCCTATACCGGTCAATAACATAATTCTTGAAAAGTTTAACTTCATAGAACATCTGCCAATTAGAATACGATTTTTGCTATCAGTATCAGTCTTGACAACATTCCACCGCCCTATTCGTTCTGAAAACACAAAGAAGGCGCCAGAAAATCATGATAATTCATAAGAATAAGTAGGCAACGGTTAACAAATGTTTAATTTGAAAAACGTTAATACGGTTGGCTCCATGAAAATTCTGATAAATATCTAATGTAATACACGATAAAAGTGCGTACGTACATTTTGTTCAGCTGATGTAATGATTGGCATGTCACCTCCTAAGCTTTGACAAAGTGCACGTGTGTCGGAGAATGTCTTGTGGACACCATGGTAGAAGACATACTGATAGCCACCATACACATTCGACCCTGATGTAGAACACTCTTGACATTCAACTGTAAGATAAGAATAAGAGACAATGAAGCAACACGTGATTCTTCACACAACAGTGGGCTATACCCCCCTCCCTCTCCCCCACCCAATCACCGTTTTCGAATTGCCCATAAAAAAAGAACAAGGAAAACAGAGGGATGTCATGATAATGAATATGTATCAGATTATGCAAATGTGACACCTGTGACCTCAGGAGGTCAGATCGCATGTGCGCGATGTATATGCGATACGCGTGACTTGATACCCAGTGCGGGGAATAAACACCGGACTATGGTTTATGGAATTCAACTACTTTGTTAGTTTGTTTGCACTTAATATGTGACATTGGCGACGAGGATTAATGTTTCTTGGATGTTGAATCTGTGGCTACGAGCTGGAAAAGTTTCAACATGGCATTCGCTGGAGCGGAATTGTTAGCGCTTCGAGGAGTTCCACACTTCGATCCGACGGGTGGTGCAAGTATTGTCAGCGGCAAGTGGAAAGCTTGGCTTGAAGAGTTCGAAGCCTACGCCGATAGTCGCGGCCTGTTTCTGGACGGATGTACGCCGGCCCAGGAGGCTCAACGGAGAGCACTGTTGCTGTACACTGCGGGGCCTGTGGTAAGGGAGACTTTCAAAACACTTCCCAATAAAGGAGAGAGGAATGAGTATCAAAAAGCCACAGATGCCCTAAATGCTCATTATGTTGTCAAACCTAATGCTACGTTTCAAAGACATTTGTTCAGGAAAACAAAGCAGGAAGATGGTGAAACGGTTGCCCAATTTGTTACCAAATTACGACAGGTTGCTATTGGATGCAATTTCGTAGCTGGGGATGTAGAAAACCAAATTCTTGACCAAGTAGTTCAGTACTGCAGAGCTGATAAACTTCGCAGGAGAATGCTGGAGAAAGGAGGTGAGCTCAAGTTAAATGATGCATTGTCCATGGCTGCTGCTCTAGAAGCTGTTGAAGGTCAATTTAACTCCATGTCATTGAGAGAGAGAGAAAGGCCTAGAGCTGGTGGACAAGTTCAAGTGAACCAAGTATCGTATGAGAATGACAGAAAAAAGAATTTAGAATGCTACCGATGTGGGAACAAAGGACATTTTGGGAAGGATGCATCATGTCCAGCCAAAGGAAAGATCTGTCGGAAATGTGGAGGCCAAAACCACTTTGCGACGATGTGCAAAAGTAAGGCCAAGAGCACAAGTGAGGCGAGAGGAAAATTCAGAGATGGGAAGTCCAGAGATGGAAAGAAGTATAAGAATAGAGTTCGCCAAGTGGAAGGTGAACCCGGACATGATAGTGATGATGACAACAGCCGTGGCCGTGATCAGAGGTACTATCAATTTGCTGTGAATGGTGATCATGAGAAAGTCCCAATAATCATTGGAGGTGTCACAGTCCCAGTGATAGTAGATTCGGGAAGTGATTGCAATGTAATAGATCAGATATTGTGGGAGAAACTGAAGAAGGACAAAATCATCTGCAAATCTACTAAGAGTACCAAGAGGCTTTATCCGTACACATCACAGATACCATTAACAACTGTTGGATGTTTCACAGCCACCGTAGAAGTTGGCAAGATGAAGTCGACTGCAGAGTTTGTTGTCATCAAAGAAAAGGGAGAACCTTTACTGAGCAAACATACGTCTAGAGAGCTGGGAGTGCTCCAGGTGGGAATTGTACATGTAAATGCGGTACAGAGCTATGCAGGTTTAAAGCATGAGTTTGAAGCAGTCTTCAAAGGGGTAGGGAAGTTGAAGGGCCGACAGGTGCGGTTAGCAGTGGATGAAACGGTGAAGCCAGTGGCCCAGCCTGTGCGAAGGACTCCATTTGGACTGAGAAAAAAGGTCGAGATGAAGATTGCGGAATTGATCGATCTCGACATCATTGAGCCAGTTGAACGCTCCACGCCATGGGTAAGCCCAGTTGTCATAGTTCCAAAGAGAAATGATGAAATAAGACTGTGTATCGATATGCGTAGAGTGAACGAAGCAATCATAAGAGAACGTCACCCCATTCCCACTATTGAGGAAGTCCTACAGGAGCTGTCGATTAGCAAGGTCTTTTCGAAAATAGACCTGAAGTGGGGGTACCACCAACTGGAGTTACATCCGGAGTCTAGAGAGGTGACAACCTTTGTCACTCATTGTGGGCTATTCCGCTATAAGAGACTGTTGTTCGGAATCAATGCTGCTCCAGAGATTTATCAATATGAGATACACAGAGTGATAGCTGGGATAGAAGGAGCTGCGAACATATCAGATGACATCATTGTGCATGCATCGACCCAGAAAGAGCATGACAAGAGGTTGAAGCAGGTGCTTGGCAGACTGCGGGACGCAGGACTTACTGCAAATGCAGAAAAGTGTAAGTTTGGTGTCTCTGAGTTGGACTTCATGGGGCACAGACTGACTAGCGAGGGACTCAACCCAGGATTGGCCAAGGTGAAAGCAATTGCAGAGGCCCGTGAACCCCAGACTGCAACTGAGATGAGAAGTTTCTTGGGGCTAGTCAACTACTGCGCAAAGTTCATTCCGAACTTTGCTACATTGGCAGATCCACTGAGAAAGCTGACCAGAAAGGACATGCCATTTCAATTCGGTCATGAACAGCGACAAGCATTTAAGTCGCTAAAGGAAAGCTTGATGAGTGCAGAGACCCTGGGCTACTATGATCTAAATGCACCGACAAAGGTCATAGCGGATGCCAGTCCAGTTGGCTTAGGAGCAGTGCTGGTGCAGGTGCATGCTGATGGCCCGAGAATAGTAGCATATGCCAGCCGCTCGTTAAGTAACGTTGAAAGGAGATACTCTCAGACGGAAAAAGAAGCCCTTGGACTTGTGTGGGCTTGTGAAAGATTCCATGCGTACCTGTATGGAATAGAGTTTGATCTAGTGACTGATCACAAACCGCTTGAAGTCATTTATTCACCGAGATCTAAGCCATGTGCGAGAATAGAGCGGTGGGTTCTGAGGCTTCAACAGTACAAGTACCGGGTAGTCCACATCGCAGGAAAGTCCAACATAGCAGATCCATTGTCAAGATTGCTGAAGGATGATCAACCGAGAGAAACTTCTGTGTTGGAAACAGAAGCAGAGAGCTTTGTGCGTTTTGTGGCAGTCCAGTCAACGCCAGGTGCGGTGACAACGAAGGAAGTCGAAAGAGAATCTGAACATGATCCTGAACTCGAAGTTATCAGAGAGTGTATTCACAGTGGACAATGGGATGATTGTCCATATAAAGCATACATTCCCATCAAGGATGAACTCTGTATAATTGGTCAGTGTGTGCTGAGAGGTAGCAGATTGGTGATTCCACAGGCACAGAGGCCAAAGATGGTGTCATTAGCTCACGAAGGACACCTGGGCATTGTTGGCACCAAACAGAATTTGAGAACCAAGGTATGGTGGCCAGGATGTGAGAAAGATGCAGAGAAATTCGTCAAGACTTGTCATGGTTGCCAAATCACAAGCAGGGGTAATCCACCAGAACCAATTCGAAGTACTATGTTGCCAACAGGACCTTGGGTGGATGTAGCTGTTGATTTCCTAGGACCACTTCCGACTGGAGAATCTATACTTGTGGTAGTTGATTATTATAGCAGATACTACGAGTATGCAATCATGAAATCAACCACTGCAGAGAAGACAGTCAAAGCCCTGGCTGAAATCTTTGGCAGACATGGGTTACCTGTGACGTTATACTCAGACAATGGACCCCAGTTCATCTCAGAAGCTTTCGCAGAGTACATGAACATTACAGGAATTCACCACCATCGGGTGACTCCTAAATGGCCCCAAGCCAACGGTGAGGTCGAAAGACAGAACCAGAGTATAGTGAAAAGGCTTAGGATTGCACAGGCAGAAGGCAAGGATTGGAAAGAGGCCTTGCTGACTTACGTCGCAGTCTACCGGGCTAGTACTCATTCGACAACGGGAAAAAGCC